AAATCATTCAACTTTGCCGAAGGCCAGAAATTTTTCTTCAAATAGTAACTTTTATTTGAATAGAGACTTTAAAACAGCAAATAACAAGTAACACCAGTGATGAAGTCACTGTCATAAAGCATTCATCTAGTTATATAGATAAAAAATAAGCATGACTTAGCTTTTTTGTTGTTATTTTACCTTTTCCTCATATATGAATTCCTTTGTTCCCACATCCATCACAATGATTATTCAATACATTTGATATCATCATTGACATAACAAACAATTGGATCACCCAGGTAGTAACAATACCAAGGCCATGCATAAATGAAGCTTTTAATAATGCGTCTACCCAGATCTCTAGGATTCACAATAATAAATTATTCTTCCTGATTATAATTATGGTTCCTTATGAATAATAAATCTGATGTTGATCACAGGTGTCAGATTTAATTAAAAAATTTCCTGTCACAAACATGCATTAAGGTGCTTTCACACGCCTCATATCTAAGGATTTTTTTCCACAGGTGAGGCCACGTACATGCTGGAAGGCTCTGGACAAAACATTTCCTTATCTTTCCCCTCAGGCCAGGCTGGGCTGCTACCATATGGAGCATTGTTTGCTGATGAGAGTTGACATTCGTGTGATGATTACTTCGTGTTATACCCCTCCAGTACAAAGTTGGTGTTAAGACTGGCTTGAAAATTCTGCAACTCAGGGGGTCGCAACCTGGATTGCTGTTTTGGATTTTCCCTGAATTCAGAGTTTTGAGTCCTGGGTTGCTGTAATTTTATGAAAAGAAAAGTATTAATACTTAACAATTAATTATTTAAATGTTTATTTTGTTGAAAAAAATATACATTGATAGTGTACATTTTCTGTGCTTAACATGCATGTGACCCTAAGTCTGGACAAAAGATCCCTTTCTATGAGTTTGGCTGGTATATCCCAAAGGCATCCCCTGTCTTGTCAGTGGCATGCCTACTCATAAACAACCCTACCCCCATTTAAAAAAATAACAAATTCAGTTGATCAAACAAAAATTAAAGAGAAGCAGAGAGTTTGGGAATGATTAACTTGTACAAAACATACCAAACATAATCCGACCCCTTTTTTCTTGTTGGAATATCACTGACAAAGATGTATATAATCGTGCAATAATTTAATCTACAAGACAGAGGACTGATTGGGCAAAAACCCAATCCAGTCCCCTACCCAAAATTATTAAATTGGTTAGTATCAGAGAAACAGAGCATTTAGGAAAGTGATTATACAAAACAAGCACTATTTTACAACTTTCCTCTTAACATCAGAGCCCAAATGCAATTTCAGGGCCACCAACCCTGCTCTGAATTGCGACCTCCTGTGCTTGAAACAAGTTACAGGTTCTTGTTGCTTTGATGGATCTGGATATTTACATGGCACTACAATTCATCAGCAGAGTTGAGACTTGGTCACAGTGCCATCCTTGCCCTAGAGGCAGGATCGTTGCAGGCGACTTTTTGGCTAGCATGCCAGCGGCCATCTCTGGTCTGGGAAGATTAGCGAAAGCTTCATTGACGATTGGTGCAGTCTCGGTAAATTCCAGGGCATTGCTCCCCGCCCCCTGGAATTCTGTTGCATCATTGTATCATCGGGGGATCAAGTCAGATTAGCCTTATGTACACGAGGAAGATGAGAGAATTACTGTAAAGTGTTCAAGGTAGCGTGCGTGCATGCTTCAACACCTGTAAATTTCCGATAATCAAACATTGCATATTTGAAATGTTTCTTCTGTAATAGTCAGTCATGCTGCCTTGACATCTTCTTGCAATTATATAGTAATATTAATATTATTAACGATTATGAAAAGCAAAATATTATCAATGAAACTCTTGTAATTACCCAGCAAGATCTGCTCCGCGTTTTGATTTCCAATTAAAATATTTATAATAACCAAAAATATCAATACAAATAAAAAAAAGTACCTCTGGTTAGTTATTAACACGTTTCTTTAGGAGACCCAAACCAAACCAAACAACAACATTCACGTTTTGTCACCTTGGACTCTGTCAAAAAATAAATTGTTTTTTGTTTTTCCAAAAAAAAAAATCAAATCAATCAATTCATGTCTGTCCTACCAAAAAAAAAACCAATAGGATAAATAATTAATGTGTACACGTCGATCAAATCACAAACTTCATTTTTTTAAAAACAATGCCAGATGACAGAAATCAGAAAAGAAAAAGAAGTAAACAAGATAAATGTGAAAATTTTCCTGGGTAAGTGTTTTAAGGATAAGGGTGGTGGTGGTGGTTATCTCCTGCCACTTGTTGTCACTCTAGTTATATAATAAAAAACAGATCATAGGTTATATATATTGGACTGCTATAGTTCTGGTTTATTCAATAATTTGGTTTTTACATTTTTTATGTGGTAACAGCCAAGCCCAGTCTGAGGAGAAGATAAAGAAACAGACAAATGAAACCTTGAACAGTGAATTAGGAAAGCAGGACAAAGAAGATGAAGTTTTTTACACAGAGAAAGATGCAATACTGGTATAATTAATTTTAATATGATATGATCAATAAGTAGAATCATCAATTTAATCATCATGTTTCTTTAGAGGGACCTTAATCAGGCATATAATGATGCCAAATTCACAGAAGAAAACTCAACACACAAAAATAATCTGAAAAGGAAGTTAGAAGACAACAAATTACCAGATTATGATGAATCAGCATTCCTATTTAATGATCTGAATGAAGATGTAATTATGGGTAAGATTGATGAAAATGCTCTCAGGGAAGAAAGCAGATTGCCATTAGCAAATGATAGTAAGGTAAACTTTATTGGTATTTGTGAGCACACAGTATATTGAGTAGGCACATTATTATCTTCAACAGGATTCATCCAAATTTATATGTAAAGACATGTTGAATGCATTCTGAAAATATCAAAATAAAATCCCTAAAACTTGCAGGGTATTCACGTAAGTTTTAGTATTTTTTTTTTTATTGTTATTATCATGGTCTGATTATTAATGCATTTTTTTTACTTCATCATTCTGTAGCCCTGCATATTGGGGAGTGCTTGATTTAACCAAGAAAGTCTATATGGATTAAAGACTGGTGCCGTAAATTATGATGATGGTAGTAGTTGTATTTACAACATATAAAAAGTGGTTGCAATTATCTTTGCCACCACTTTTGCAACCATACTTTTTCCTTTTTTGGATTACGGCACTAGTCTTTAATACAGATGTGAAGAAATTACTGAAAATGACTTGCAGCAATTATCTCAAGATTTCTCCAATCATGTCAAATAGAAATATGAACCCACCCCAACAAGCATCCAGGATTATTTTGATAATCATTGTGAGAGTCTTGAAAATATTGATGAAAACAAAAATTTAGATATAAATATACAATTTTTGTATGTATCAGTTGTGTGAATTGCATTCTTGATTATTTGACATTATATTCAACTTTGCATTACTGTACAGAAAGAATAACATGCACTCCTTCCAAGGGATGTTGACTGAGGAACAATTGAAGATGACATCGTCATTTCCACTATTTAACAGAACATTTACATCTAATTGTGTAAAGCATTCCTGGTAAGTCAATTTTATTATTAAGGCATTGAATGTTTTATACTAATGATTATTCTCCAAATAGGGGGGAAATCCAGACTATTTCAAGCAATGATGTGCATAATGAAAATTCAGACCCTTTCAAAAAAGCACGAATCAGTAGAAAAGTTGATATGAAGGTTACATTATTAAAAACACCAAATAAGTTCAAGGCTCTCTTTGGAGAAGTTGCAGGTGGACTAGGGCCATTTGGAATCCCTACAGCTTGTCGGAAGAAATGATTCTTAGACAAAGTGAAATTAATGATAATCATGCATGATAGTATTAATTGCCTGTTAAAAGAATGTAACCACGTATCACATGAAAAAAGATCAGAAATCATTGTTTATGGATGGCTTCAGTTTGGTATGTTGAATATGAAAAGAAACTTATATAATATCATCACTAATGGTTTCTATTTTAGGCTTAAAGCTAAACTTTTATGTGATGGATTGGGTAGGATCTGGGATATATAGATTCAGATTGATAGATAACTGCAGAATACCTACCGATGATGATTGTTGTAACATATTGGAAGATGGATTTTGCATTCTTAAATTGCTTGAGGTAAGTTGATAATTTTTATCTATGATAATTTGCTAATAAATGTTTAATCTGTGTCTCAAAAATAGAAAAGGTTGATTGATATCAAAATATCCGTAAAAAGTCTATTTTCAAACAACACAAGAGGAAAAAGGTGTCAAATCATGTTGGAAAACAAAGCAGAATTAAATGTCAATTGCACTCCTTAAAATAAACACTATTCAATCTTGAAGCCTGAAGTAGAACAAAAAAATTTTTTTTAATGTGCACAATGAAAAAAAAATTATAGTTTTCAAAAGTTTTGTGTATGTGAAATTACAAAATTGTCAATCACTTTTGCTAAGAAAAATTCTTGATCATACGTGGAATAATAATAAGGCTTAGGAAACATAACTTTAGAAATAACTTTATTTAAATAAACTTTAAATAAACTTTAATTTTATCTGGGAGTAATTGTGGATATGGAAAATATTTGCGGACAATTATGGACATTTAAGACATTTTCCCACAATGTTGCAACACTGTGTTGCAACATCAAGAGTTGCAGCATTTGAATTGCAGTGTCATCTTTAGATTTTTACTTCATTTTGTCTAAAGATTTTAGTATTTTGTTTTGTGATGGTATGTTCTCATCCTGCTTTCTTTTTCCAACATTTATTATTTCTTTCTTGGTAAATTTCATAGGTAATCCTTTCTTTATCTAAATATGTTTGGATTTAGTATCTGCTAATTTAAAAATATAAGATGCAATTTTTTCACCTTGTTCCTTCCTCAAAATACTTCTAATGATGCTGTAATTCTTTAGTTCCATAGTAGATCTGATGTAAATTAGTTTCATATTAACTATTTTGTCTAGACAAATATCATTGATCACATTACATTGGTAATACAATTGTGATGTTAAAAAATGATATTGACCCCCGAAATTTTGGTAATACCAATGTTCACTTTGTCTGGTTTTGTTGCAGTATGGCCCATATAACGTTTTATCATGTAAATTGTCATATTAATCATCATTATTATCATAATAATCATGTCAATCATAACAAATAATTCACAATCTTATACAAAGCTTTCAAAGAAATTATTAACAATCAAGTTGATGAAAATTTTATCATTTACCAATTATTCTAATTGGGATTTAGGAGTAACTCTCACAATAATAAATATATCAAAAAATTAAATTTCAAATATAGGAATAAAAATCAATCAACTGATATTTTATCATTTCCTTTACATGATGTTTGATCTAAATGTAATTATTTTTAATGGGTAGAAATAAAAATCACCAATAATTAAATAATAAATCAAATAAATAACTAATTAATTTAGGCAATTTCACCAGAAAACTTACCCAAACCATTGACACCAGAACATCAAAATCTGGGAGATTTAATTATTTCAATGCCATATGTAATCAATTGGTGTAAAAGAAATAATAAATATTATACTACTTGTCATTCATTTAAGAAAACTAAACAATGTCTTAATATTGAAAAGAGATTGATAGAGTTATATGTACATGGTGTACTACATTTGCTTGGTTATGATCATGAAAGTGATGATGATTATTTAATGGTAAATATTATTTTAAATGGGAAAAATAAGAATGAATATACATACATAAAAATATATATTTGTCTAGATTTATTATTCTATTAATATTAAAGATGAATATGAAAGAAAAAGAAATGCTGAAACAATTTTGGAAATGGAAAAAAGATTTAAGAAACAGAAAATAATAAATTGATACCTATCATTTATTAAAAACATTTACAATAATAATTTATTTATGATGCATATTTTTTTTTAGTGATTGTAATTAATTGAATGCTCGAAATTCCCTCATAAATTGCACCTTTTAAAACAAATGTTTAACATAAATAAATGATTGAATGATTGAATGATTAAAATAATAAATATTGTGTGTTTACCTATTTTTGCATCCCTGTAATACTTCTTGACTATAAGTATATATAATATCAAAGAAAAAAATTATTTAAATAATTTTTATTACATTTAACAAAAAAAAATTTATTTTTTTGAATTACCTGGAAATTCTGTAGTAAATCTGACACTGCCCATCCACTTGATACATTTAGATGCAGCCTGATCAACATAAATAATATTAAAGAAATTATCATGACATCACCATAATAAAAGATTAAACCTTTTCTGCTATTCGAGAAGAATATAATTTAGCCATTACAGCTTCTTCAATAAAGCATCTTCATTCTAGCTGCATTGTATGTCAATAACCTGGCAGCCTCAATTTCAGTTGCAACTAGATGAAAAATAAGCATATGCAGCATATCATTATAATTAATAACAAAATTATATAATTTAAATAATGATAGATTGTCATTGTTATGTTTGTTAAGTAATACTAACTTTGTGCATATTGCAGTTGCATTCCCTATTAAAGATCAAGAGAGAGAGTATATATATATTCAGTAATGATTTATTAATATCAAAAAAAAATTTTTATCAGTATTTTTACCTGAAAGTCACCAATAAATCGACAAATTGTTCCCTTTGGAATAAATAAGGTAATGCATGATCATATGCTTCTTGTGCAAGTCCTATCATTTGAACTGCTATTCCAATACGTCTTCATTCAATATCTCAATAGCATATTTATAACCTTGAATATTTATTATAATAATAATAATAAATTATTATATTTAATATTCACATCTAACTTGTAATTTGTAATTTTAATAGAAATAACATTAATAATCATAATATTTATAATTATAATAATAACCTTCAATAGCCAAGACAGATCCCAATTTATTGGTAATTATAAATATTTTGGAAATGGTAAATTTTTTTTCAAGATTCTTCAAAAAATGATTGTGTTTTTATTATATATATCAATCACTAATCATTAATTTTGATCTGATATGTTTGTTCAGGAATTTTTGTTGACCATTAAAAACATTTATGTTTTTATTTACCTGAATCACGAAGCATTTCTTCTTCTTCAATGAGTGTGTTTAAAGAGGATAGGAATGAAGCATAACATTTTGGCATCGTTTGACCAAAGTTTCTATCATTATCATAAATACATCTATACATTATATGAATTCAATAAAAATTATTCATCAAAAAATCATCGTATACCTAAACGTATTTACATTAGAAACTCTCAAAGGCGATAAATCTTGTCTAATACTAGTTAATGGAGGAAATCAGTTCTTGATAAACTTATGAATGTCATTTTTTAAAAAAAATATTAAAGTTTTATAAAATCACGATAAAAATTACTGCTATAAATAGTTTTATTGTACATCTTTTACCAATACCAATAAATAATGTAAACAAATCATTATATATATTACGATTCGCCCGCTATCCACTGAAAATTCTTAATACTTTCTGTGATAATAAGAATTGTGATTAGTTGTATATTAATTAATCTGTGGTCATCAATGCTTTCAAGGTCTACAAGTTTTAATAATGGCGAGGGAGATAAAGGTACCATAGATAGATGGCGATGATATGAAGCAGCCAAGTTACTTGGCCTTAATCGGTCATTAATTAATTTTTACTCGTAACCCTTATACTATGACAGAACGATTTTTATTTTTGAATGTCTAAATTACGTACATCTTTGTTTATATTAAATTCATTTTTGAATGTAAATTATGGATGTACTTGTGTTAGCATAAAAAAAGGTTATTAATTAAGAAATTTTTTTTTTATATGATTGTTTAGATTTTTTAATATATTCATAAAAGTCATAAAATATTAAATCAAAGGCCGGGCCTATATAAAAGTTTTACTCCAACTTAAAAATACACACTCATTTGTTCCTCTCTTATCATTATAATCACATTTTCTATCTTGAATATATTGAAATAATTTGTATATTATCCTTCTGATTAGAATCAACTGTCAATTCTAACTTGTTTTCCAAAAATATAAATAAATTCGTTCAAGTGTTGTAGCTACAATATCCTTACAGACATGCCATATCATCAACATTCGTTGCCAGATTATTATAAGAATTATAACGATTATTCACCATCAGACCCTTATTACAATAATTCCTTAGATGACGATTATTCATCATCATCAAACTATTATTCTCCACCACCAGAGCCAACTTCTAAAACATATTCATCATCAGACTATTATTCGCCACCATCATGGCGAACTCCTAGATCATATTCATCATCGCCATATCTATCATCAGACAATTATTCGTCACTAACTTATCGGCCATCACAAAAGCCAACTTCTAATCAACATTCACCATCAGACCTTTATCCAAGACAAACACCATATTCAGCACCAAAGCCAACTTCTAAAACATATTCATCATCAGACAATTATTCGCCATTAACTTATCCGCCATCACCAAAGCTAACTTCTAAAACACATTCAAAATCACAATATCATTCGCCACCACCACCAAGACGAACTCCAGACCGTTATCCGCCACTAACAAAGCCAACTTCTGAAACACATTCATCATCATGGGTAGATACTACTCGATACTTGGGTCCAAATTCATCATCATGGGTAGATACTACTCGATACTTGGGTCCAAATTCATCATCAGATTATTATTCGCCACTACCAAGACGAACTCCTACACCATACTCAGACCGTTATCCGCCATCACCAAAGCCAACTTCTAGTCAATATCCACCATTAGACCTTTATCCACCACCAAGACAAACACCATATTCAGACTATTATTCGCCGCCATCACCAAAGCCAACTTCTAGTCAATATCCACCATTAGACCTTTATCCACCACCAAGACACACACCATATTCAGACTATTATTCGCCGCCATCACCAAAGCCAACTTCTGAAACATATTATTCATCATCAGACTTTTATCCACCGCTAGATCCAGACTATTATTCGCCACCAACTTATCCGCAATCACCAATGCCAACTTCTAAAACATATTCAGACCATTATTTATCAGCTCCGAAAAGACAGTTAGTTACATATGAACCAGAGTGTCTACGATGTGACGCAAAACCCGTTTCGGCCGAGGAAGATTTTTGCTCGAAAAAGTGTAAAAACTGGGTTAAACAGAATGGTAGACTACAAATTTTTTTTTTTATTTTTATTTTTTTAAAGTATTTACAAATACCTATACATAAAATTTTTATTGTTTTTAGCCCCTCGTTTGTTAAAGTTATCAGAAACAAGTGAGAAATACAATAAAGTAGCAATGCAGTTCCTATTAGGATGGAAACATCCTGACAAAAAATCACCAAAAATATCATCTATACACGCGATCTGCTGTAGTGGATTTATGGTCAATAGATATAATACATATCGTGACAAAGTTGAAAGAAAACATCAATTAGAAGGACAAGTATCTCCGGAAGATAATATCAAAATGAGTGCTGGAAATGAACGATTAAGATTTCATGGAACTGGCACGTATGTATCTACCCTAGCACTAGGAAAAGTTCTTGTCCGGAATTTGTTCGAAAAGATGCAATTGTCCAAATTTTTAAGTTCGCAATTGCTTGTACAAATTCTAAATTTTCTAATCGATAAAATTCTTCTTTATTATTAATAATAACAGACGATGTTTAATTGGGATCTTAGATAGTGGAGTTGTGTGCGATGATTCAGAGTGTTCGACCTGTTGCATAATAAGAAAAGGCTACAAGCTGAAATTTATTAAAAAAAGCAATGGATTCAAACGATTTGGCAATGGTATTTATTTCTCTGCCACATCTTCTAAATCAGACGACTACAATTTTGGGTCTCAGAAGAGCTTCAATGGTGCCAAGTATAAAACAATGCTATTGAATAAAGTAGTAGTGGGTAATGGGCATCAACTCATATTCAACAATGACAAGTTAAATAAGCCTCCGCATGGGTACAATTCTGTTTTGGGCGAACCTAATTTAATGGGGAATTTAAACTATGATGAAGTTGTGGTTTATAAAGAGAAAGCTTGTATTCCGCAGTATTTAATTGTCTATGAAGTTGATTAGGTGTCAACCTTGATATATATAATATTTGTGGAAGTTTTATTATTTTCCATTATTATAAATATTTGCAAGTAAATTGCAATGTTTTAACCGGGATTGTAGATAGGACCTTCTCCCTCCGAATGATTGTTTATTAGTAATAGTAAATCACACATTCCTGGTGGTTATTCGGACCGGTTGAAAATAATGAAGATGCTCTTATGGAACTATTGTTCCATGTTTTAATGATGTTAAAATTATTGTATCATTGATATTTCTTGAATTGATTAAAATTTTGAAATATAATAACAAGATTTTATATAATGCGCCGTGTGCCTTTTTCGTGAAATTTTTTGTGAAACTAGAATGATGACCACCATTTTTTTTTTAGCATATTAACCTTTGGGCATAGACAATTGAGCGCTGGATTAAATATTTAGAACATGACCACAAAAGAAAAAGAAAAGAGAGTGATGATTTTTCGAGGAAAGTCGGTATACATCTGGGCCTTTAAAAGTCTTGAACGAAAAATCAAATTCAATCTTGCATATCATTGAAAAATGATGAAATCAGAAAAATAATAAACCGTTTATCAATATTGATAATCTTGAAGATGGTGTGGTAATATTAAAAGAATTATATCAAATTGAAAACATGTTAAGTTATCATTTTGTGAAATCATTTATTAGAAGGTTAATAATGAAAAAACACGAGTGATGTTTAATTTAACATCAGTGATATATTTGCTACCATTATTAATGTTTCTATGCATGATTATTTACATGGATAATCTGTTTCAATTTAAACAAAAAATATTTTAAGCTTTTGTTATCTGAACCACAACTTATCGCGAGAAATTTTTTCGTTTATTTTAAGAATCCTTTTCTATAATTTCTATAATAATAATGAGAAAAAATGCAATGTTTGCACGCGTTTTCTATTCGTGCTATAATGATAATAATACATGTCAAACTTGATAGCTGCAAAAATTATCTAATTTTGAAAAATGGAACAAAGCTTTTGTGTATTCATTGGAGTTTCCTCACAGGCCATTATGTGCTGATAAACACAGTAAAAACAAAGGAATATTCAATTGGAGACAAGGTCGCAATATTTCTCGTGCCTGAGTAAAGGTTGAATATTATAATAAGAGATATAGAGATACCCATTCTTGAAAAAAAGATAGAAAAGAAGAAAATATCTATATGACAAGTCAAAAACTATCAGATTGTTATTTGGTATGCTCAGGGAGATGTTTTTTGATTATATAATGAATGTAGGGTTAATAACAAGTCGTAATTTTATTTATTTTTTTCTCGTCGTTAAAAAAGGATCTAAATAGTAAAATTATTTATCCACAAGTGCCGCAGCATGATTATGTTTACAAATCGACTACGTCACGTAAATATTGACTATTTAAAAAGCCAAACCAATTACAAAGGTAGGATTAGAGTTTTTGAAATTTTTTATTAGGATATGAAGATACATTGAGTAAATTCTCAAAAGGAGATACTTTTTATTAATATTATGTACTGTTACAATTTTCTATATATAAATAAATAATGGATGGATGGATGAAAAATTCATTCGAGGAAAAAAAGGGTTGTTTTTTATAATTTTGAGAAAATAATTGGTTCGTGTTTATTGTCATATCCAGCAACTTGACTTCTTTTACTAAATTGATGCTATTAATTAAATGTAAATGGAATGAATTAGATAAATAAATAAATAAATAAATAAATAAATAAATATATATATATATCAATAAGTAATTTATTTCAATTAATCATAAAAATAAATGGATGCTTACAGCAACTTCAATACCATCATTATTAATTTGTTCTCTTGAATCCAAAGGAACGTAAGATCTGACACTTGAACCAACGTAAACTTGTCTTGGTCTCCAAATTTTTGTTTCTTTATCTTCTAATGATTCTTTCCAATGAGCTAGCCAACCTGAAACTCTTGGGATTGCTGTTTATTTTACATGGAAAGATTTTTTTTCAATTTAATTATAAAAATCTTATTTTGTTAAATATAAAAAACAAATTTGTGTTTTTTTTTTTTACTATACCAAACAATACTGGAAACATATCAGTTGGAAAACCCATGGCTTTATAAATTAATCCAGAATAAAAGTCAACATTTGGATAAAGTTTTCTTGTAACAAAATAATCATCTTCCAAAGCTGCTTTTTCTAATTCAACAGCTACATCTATAAGTGGTTCGCGTCCGCATACATCAAACACCTATTATATAAACATTAATGAGTTATATAAATAATCCTTTAAAAAAATTACACCCTTATCTTCCTGATTGTCCAATTAACTACCTCAAAAGCAATCTTTCTGATAATTTTTGCTCTAGGATCATAATTTTTATAAACCCTATGACCAAATCCGAACAACTTTCTTTTCCTTTGTTTAACTTCTTCCAAGAATCCTGATACATTTTCTTTTGAACCAATTTCTTCCAACATTCTCAATACTGCCTCATTTGCACCTCCATGAAGTGGTCCATACAATGCAGTAGATGCACCTGAAATTGCGCTATAAGGATCAACAAGTGATGAACCTATATGTCTCATTGCTGCGGTCGAGCAATTTAATTCATGATCTTTGGATTTCATAATTTATGTATATATAATAGAAAGAATTACTTGCTTTTATTTTTTTTTTTTTAAATAAAAAAAGAAAAATAAAGAGCATTTATAACTAACTGTCTGCTACCTGCATGAAGAATAAATAGAATATCTAAAGCTCGAGCTAATTTTGGGTTTGGTTTGTAATTCTCTTCGGACAAGTGATCAAGCATGTATAAAAAGTTTTCTGTGTATGAAAGATTATTTTGTGGAACATTGTATTGTCTTTATTAGAAAGTAAAATGGATTAGTATATACAAGTAATTACTTACTATTAACCATTTATTATCAAGAATTATAACAATGAATTAATAAATTACCTTCCAATACGATGACGATATGCCATTCTATATGTAGATTGATAAATGTTAGTTTTATATAAAATAAAAGAAAAATTATATGTATAAAAGTTCTATATATTTTTTTTTCCAAAAAAACTCACGCTGCTAGAGTTGGCGTTTTACCCAAAAGTCTAAATATTTGTTTATTACGAGTTTTTTCATCACGAATAAACAAATCTGATCCCTTAAATATTTATGAAATAAAAATTGTAAATTTGTTTAATAAAATAAAATTTAAATTTCATCACATTTTCTTTTTTTATCACTTACAACTAAAGCTGGATTAGCGTCAGGGTGAAAAGTGCTCATAGCAGCAACTCCACTAACAAACATTCCCATGGGATGAGCATTATAATTAAATTTACGCATTAATTCAGTCACATTAAAGTGAACAAATGTGTGATGCATAACTTCATGACTAAAATTTTCAAATTGTTGTTTAGTGGGAAGTTCTCCATAAATTAATAAATAAGCAACTTCAAGATATGTAGATTTCTCAGCAAGTTGTTCGATTGGATATCCACTAATTTATTTAATTTGTTATTATTACTGTTATTATTAATGTTGTGTGTTATAGTAATATTTACTTTTAATAATATCACTCTCTCCTCTCTCAAAAATACTTACCGATATCTTAAAACACCAGCATCACCATTAATATAAGTAATTTTTGATTTTGCAACGGCTGTATTTTGAAATGCTATAAAATAAAATACAAATATTTAATTAATGAATTGATTTTTTAGTAATCGGAAAAAAAATTTAAATTATAAAATAATAAAATTACCTGGATCATAAACTCTATTTAAACAAATAAAAAAATTTAGGTTTAGATAATGAAAAATTAATCATTTTTATAAAATCAATTTATAGTCAACCCCCTCAAGTGCACCCCCTTGGGACTGGGTGAGAGCGTGTGCATTCAAAGGGAATGCACTTGGAAGGGTTGACTGTATATTAAAAAAATATAGAACAAACCTTAAACCTTTACCACTTTCATCCTCCTCGCGAGAATTTGGCATTGGATCTGCCGTCATTTCCTTGAATTTGATGGCAGGTATTGTATTGTTCTCAATTGGAATTTCATAAATTTTATTAGTTCTATTGTCTAAAACTGTAAGAGATTGTGTGTTTGAACTTTTATTTTAAAACAATACAATTGCAATAAATCGTGAGTTAATTAATTATAAAATCATTATAAATAATAATAAGCGTATATAAAACATTCAATTACTTTGTTGGTAATACTACAACAGAAGTAGGTTTTGAAGGTGAACTCTTTCCACCTGTTATTGGAGAAGGTAAGTTCCAAGAAGCTCCAGAGACCTTGTCTGTCAAGACAAGATTTGAACTAATAAATAATATATTTAATAATTAATTAATGGTTTGTAATTTAATATAAGAACTATCAATTTAAAATTACCTTTGAGTCATTTTTGTTATTTTTTTTTTCAAAGCGAAAAAAAAAAATCAATAAATCTTTATATTAATATATATACGTTAAAAAATTGATTATCATATGTTAAAACATTGATTATCATATACAAATGTGATAATCTAGTACTAGTGAATGACAAACATTTGGCATTATCTGTCACATTATATAGAAAATACCAATTCCTTATCTGTTGCTTATTATACGTCACAAAAGAAATGTCAAATATTAATATACAAATATTGTAGATGTCAAAAGTTATTAATTAACGATGGTATAATAATAATAAAAAGAATTTACAAATTAAGCTAAATAAAAAGATAATAATCTTTTATACATATAAAATTTGTGGAAATCAATCCTCATTTATTATAATAAAAAAGATTACTTTAAAATCTATACAATGTAATATAATATATATTAATAGGATAATTAATTATTTAGCTCTACAAATTACTTCACCACCAGCCTTTAACCCAATAGCATCTTTAATTTCTAAAACACCTTTTGCTGTGCTAACAATAATAATTTCACCAAGTTGTAATGGTTGGATGAATTTAGCTCTTTTTCCAGAAGACAAATCCTGTAGTTCACTGACATTCATATAAACCCGTTTGGAACCTTTACTAACACATTTCATCTGTTCTAATACTGGTTGATTATCAGAGTATTTAAGTTTGAGCCAATATCTTCGGGTTGGAATGTTTTCTGGTGTTGTCTGAGTAGGTTGTTCATCAGGTTTAACATGATTTCCACGTTGGACTGAAGAAACAAATCCTTCTCGACACAATATTGAAGCAAGGCTCAAATTCATTTTTGTTTCTGGAACTACTACATACTGATGATTAGCTCGAAAGGCATTTTGAATTCTTGCGCAAAAATCATGAATTTTTGGCATTTTTTATTTATTATCATCAAAAATTTTTTTTGATCTATAATAATAATAATAATAATGGTAGTAATATCTTACCCATAAAGGAAATAATGTTACCTTTTTGGGAAACATACTTGCAAATTTTAATATTAATATTAATATGGGGTAAACATTATATCATACAAAAATTTCAGGGTTCAATTTTCTCAATGTATATATTAATATTAATATATATATCACAATCGTTATAAAACAACCACCAATTCAAAAACAAGTAGAAAATTTATTTTTTATTTTATTTTATAAAATGCCTTTATAGATTGCTGGTTAGGATTTTTTTACAAAACCAACTCTATAATTTAAACTAAAATTGATTGATTAGTGATCAAAAATAATGAAAAAATGTGAAAGGATTTATTTAAATGTTTATTTTAATTTGCAGATTTTCATTTCATTGGTGATTGTATCCGTTGATTATCCGGGTGTTTGAGTACTTGGTCAATCAATAAAGCTCAACACCCTGATAATCAGTCATTCACCGAATATGCGCTGAATATCCACTGAATATCCGTTAAATATGCTTTTTTTTTTTTTTTAAGAAATACAAATAACAACGGATTCAATTTTATTCGTTCGGATGTCATTATGTTTTCAGCTTCACTAAGTACAATCAAACCTTGTCACAGCGGACGCAAAAAATATATTATATATTACACGAAGACTTTTCTAGGACACGGTCCCTACAAAATTGCTATTTTTGGCTACATAGCGCAGCAATAGGGCCGTGCTAACCATATCAAATTTTACCATTTTAGACAAAAAAGGAAAAAATACGCTACAACGATTTTTACTGGTCTAATAATTTAAATAAAAGTCTGTTTGGCCGAGACATATAATCATCCGCGCTTCGAGCAATCAAAAATAAATTACTTATATTGGAAAGGTCTACATTTGAAAATCTCTGACCATTGGTAAATTATAAACGACATGCCATAGAACTAATAATTTTTTTAAATTATCTCAACGACAGATTGTAGAACTAGTCAATAATAGTTATCAGAATCATCTCTATTTTTTTAAAAAGTTAGACAATTTTATTCAATAGGTTAGTGTTATGGTTTTTCTCCATAATTGGTCTTTTTAAATAAATTATCTGTAAACGTAATTAATTTTTCATAGTTGCTATAATAGTTGCCAAAATTATCTCTGTGATTATTTGAAATCTCTTTAAGTCAAATGCCATATTAATATATAGTTATTTTTTGCCATAATAATAATCACTTTTTCTCCAAAAAAATTACACGAACAACTATAGTTAATGTGACCCGCACTATACACAAAAAATAAAATCGCGTTTGTTTATCCATTTAATATGTCTGTTTAAAATAAAATTGCTTTTTATTAATACCTTACGTCACTCAAACATTCTAAACATCGTATAAACGATTGATACAAAATCTAAAGTACAACTGCAGACAATTGACCAAGTTTTTTTTTGAGAAATTGATAGAGAATATATGGTAGATCATTAAAAACAATGCCGGAAAAAAGAATGCATAATTTGTTTAATTCAATTTTTTATCGCGGAGTTTCAAACTTCGTTTCAACTGAAGCAAAAACTATAAAAGCTTACACTAATTAAATGATTCTGAAAAAAAAAATTCTTATAAAAATTAAAAATACATTCCACATATTAATAATTAAATATGTTAATAAAAAATAAGATTGTTTATTGTTTTGCTGTCTGTCTTTTTATATTTAATCATAGCAATGCTTTAAACATTAGCATTCTTGTTACTCCTTCAACTTATGGATTTGGAGGATCTTTTTATCCTAATTTAGTTCAAGCAAGACTTGGAGATTATGTAGGATTTATTTTACTCATTCATTTTTTAATAATAAAGATACAAAATACAAAATACAAAATATTTCTAAATTATTTTTATTAGATAATATTTGAAAAAAATATATTCACTGACGGAAATTGTCGAATTGTCGAAGCCAATGAGAAGGGGTCATGTGTAAGATCTAACAGTTCTGACGCATGTATGTACAATTATTTCAATGTATTTTCTCGTGATTATTTTTTTTAACAATATTTAAAATTTTTTAAATTAGACGTTGTAGAAATATCAGATATCAACCCAAAAGTTTCATTACAACTCACAAAGACTGGTAAAATTTTTTTGATTGATGACGGAGTTAATGAGAATTGTATAAACGATACTCAGTGTGAACTTGATGTCGGTAACGGAACTGCTCCTTCTGCTAAAACTTCATCTGCCAACACTTCACCTGCTTATACTTCTGCTGCTTCGCCTCCTGGTTATGCTCCTACTACCGCTGATACTACGAGTAACAATAATAATAATGGGAGCAGTGAAAATATCGGACTTATAGTTGGAATTATTGGTGGTGGATTATTTACTTTAGGAGTTTTGGGATGGTTATATAAGAAATATAAAGGAAATAATAATAATAATAATAATAATAATAACAATAATTATAATAATAATAGCAATAACAATAATTTTAATTATAATAATAATAATAACAATAATTTTAATTATAATGGTAATGAGTATAATTACGATGATAATCAAAAAATACTGGAAATTCCATCGTCCAATGACATAAATCACTTTACGAGTCGTCGATAGATTTTTTTTGCTTTATTTCTATTTAATAAATTTATTTTTTATTTCAGTAACCTTTTGCTCAACGAACATGACGATAGACAAGTAAATTTTGGAGTAAATTAGAAACTTATGGTTTTAATGTCAGCATTAAATAACTTATTATTCAAAATTTAAAGAAATATTGGAAATATTTATATCGTTGATTAGGCGTTTTTTTTAAAATCTTTTTGTAAAAAACTTGCCCGACTTTAAATTTTACCAGTAAAGACCTCGTAGCAAGAGCTTATGTACTTATGTTTTTGATTGGAGAGTTCAGTTTACTAGAGCAAAATCTCCTAAACGGAAAATGGCTAGAAGAACGTTTCAATAATCCAATGAAGATTCCTGGTTGTTTATTTTTATGCTTGTCAAATTATAAACGAATTTTCATAAAGACACTTGAATGCTAGCTAAGTATAAAATCGTTATTAACTAAACTCTCTTCTTTTTTTTCTCTGACCAAAAAAATCAAAGACTTTTATTTTAATATTTCTCTGGCTTTGCTATTTCTGAAAACAAAAAAAAAATTTTTAATTACTCGCGTTTTTAAATGAGAATGAATATTTTTCTAAGATTGATATTAGTATATGTTTAATTTTTCGTTAAAATGATTTGCTTGAACCTTCTCATCCTTGTCAAAGCTTTATATAAAGAAAAGAATGTGAAAGTGTATCTCTATGTTTTTACATTGGTATAATAATAATAATTAATAATAATAATATTAATCAAACACAATAAAGGATAAATATAAATTAACATTATTTTACAATGATTAGTCTACAATTTTTTTTTTATTCTCTTCGTAACTGATCAAGTCTTGCTTGTAATACAGCATCGTCACTTGATTCCATTTCTGCTGCTAGTGGCACTCTTTCATTTGTTTTGGTTTTTTCAATTGTAGTTGGTGCATCAACAAGCTTATAATAAAAAAATATGTTAATTTTTTAACATCAATCATAATAATTAACATTAACTTTTGAATTGATTAGCAAAAAAAAAAAAACAATATATTTACAGATTGGTCCAATGTAATTCCAATTTCATCCAAAACTTGATTTACTATCATTTCAGTTTCCTCTTCATCATCTTCCTCTGCCATTGTATCATCAATTACATCATTCATCACTTCTTCCTTCATATCCATCATTTCTGATTCTTTTTCAAATTCCATCATAATCTTTTGCATAGCTGGTAGATTCATTTGCCTATTCATAGACTTCATTGCCTAAATATATATATACATATATATATATATATATAATGTAAAGCTATCAAACAGTAAGAATAATAATACATGCATGTATGTATTTGTAAGTTACCTTTGTAGCACCTCTCATAGCTTCGGTCATTTGTTGATTAGATCTTAAAGTCTGTGTAAAAAATAATATTTATTATTTTAATGGATCTGATTGAATAAATAGATAAATAACTAATATATAAAACCTGAATTCTTAATGAAACTGCTTGAAGTTGTGCTTTCATTCCTTGAAACTTTTGAGAATAACGTCTAGTTCTAACAAGATCTTTTGCCATGATCTTACATGCACTCTACGATCATAAATAAATTTTTTTTATCTACGACATATTTTTTAATCAAAAACGTTTATTTATAATGAAAAAAAAAATTTATTTATTCTACCATTTGATTTTCTTTTGCTGCTTTTTTAATATCTGCAATTAATTTTTTTTCTGAAGCTTCTAGTTTGACTCTTTCACGATCCATTTCACGCTGTGCTCTTTGAAGTGCACGTTGATGTTCACGTAGCATTTCTGCTGGTGTCTTTTTACGTCCAAATAATAACTCCTAATAATGCATTCTTTCATTGTTAATGTTTTTCTTGGTTTTTAAAACTATAAAAAATAAATCAGCACCAACCATCTTTATACAATTTGTTGATTACAAGATTTATTTTTAAATTCTAATGATTTAGAATCGATATAAAAAAGGAATTGATTTGCTGCAACTCAAAAATTGATGATAAACATTATCAGTCAGTACAAAAGGCTCAGCTAGTTTGGATTTATCATATTTGAAGGGCTTGGTGAGGAATATTTATAGTTACCTATTAGGGAATGATGAATTAACAGAAATCTATTTGATTTATAAAAAATCAAAGTTTTAATAGAGCTACAAGCATTAACTTCAAGCCAAAATCAAATAATCTATCTGCAACTTGCCAAAATTATTAATGATATTATTAATAATAATTGAAAAAACTTTCAATCATTTTTATCTGCTTTATATGCATTTGGTAAATGCATTGAATATGATCAATTCTTCAAAATATTTGAACATAAATCTACAATTGAAGAACATAGGAACAAATTGTATTATTTTCTAGTTCACCAAGTAAGGAAAGTATATTTGAATAATCAATTTAAACCTAGATTGGCAAAATTGGACAATTGTGGTGCACTTTTAATTTGTGATTATAAAATGCATATTTACCAAAAACTGCAAGAGAAACCAAGGAATTTTTTTTGCATACAATTTTGATTTATACGAAATCTGATACTAACCAACTCAATGTTCAAGCATGATCATTGGAGTACTGATACCAAGCAGGATGCTTGGTTTACAGCTTCTTTTTTTGATTCTAATTTAGATCCAAGACCACAATGGATTGGAGTATTTTCAGACTCAAAATCAATGACTATAATTTCCTACTGTCATCAATAGTATAATATTGAAGTTCGTGGTTGGGTATTTTTTGAACCTGGGAAAGTAAAATCAAGCATTGGCTCTCATCAGGATCCTTAAGCTCAAAGTTTCCTGATGATCATAAACAAAACAAAGTCAGGTTGAAATTTACCTAAAAAATATTTTTTAAAAAATTGCATCATTGACATTAGCTATCAAATACCATTGACTTAAAGACTTTTTAATCACAGATTCACCAGTGAACCTAATTATACCATTTAAAATAAATATTGATCACATTCATTTGTAGTTATGCTGAAAGGGGAACAGTAGGTATCACATTAAAAAGAACATGATCAAGCAGCATCTTGATATCTGGTGGTTAACAAGAAAGTCTCCGTCTGTTATGAATATGTGGTTGGGGTTGATTCTTTCAAAATTGAATTAGAAACATAAAATATATAATAAATAATATAAATTTTCTTTAGATTAAAAGAGTATATATATAGATGGGTGTAAAGTCACCCTTTGAGCCTAAATGATAAATATGTAAAAAAAAAATTTAGTCATAATGCAAGTTTTAAGGGTCATTAAAAGTCATTAGCACAAAATAAAAATGTCATGACTACTAATAGAGCCTGTTGAGTTCGAGCAAAACAAAATTGTATAGTTAAGAAGGAAATGACACTGAGGAAATTAATGCTCAAAGAAAAGTATGGGAACATAATTTTTTGAGTGACAGTCCCTGCAAAACATGTTACACGCGCATTAAATTTTCAAAGTCTTGTGCTAAGCATTTAATTAAAATAATGTCATAACAGAAATAATACTAAGCAGATAAAAACATAACAATTCAATTGCTTGATCAGTGCCCTTATACTCATCTTCATTCCATCTTGAAATCCAAGATACCTCAAGGAATAATTCATATAAAGAACTCTGATTTTCAAATAACTTTTCTTTCTTTTCAATTAATAACAAGCAACAAAATCAAATAATGGCCAGACAGACCATTTTTTGATAAATCTTTATTCAACTGATTCTCCTTATTGCCATTAATTTGTTCTTTCATCCCAAAAATTAAAAATCAGATCCAGTGTCCTTTCAGTCAAATTAAATAAATTTTATAATCTTTATCTTAAAAAATAATGTTAAAAAATTTTTTTTCCTATATAAAATAATGTCTAATTATTGTGTAGAAAATAAGAAAAATAAGAAAATTAAGAAAATTAAGAAAATTAAAAATTAAGAAAATTAAAAAATTAAAATAATATTATAAATTAATATTAATGTTCTTTTGAATAATTCATCTCATAAAAAAAATTATCACCCAAATATTCCTGTATACTTTTTATATCTTATAATATTTGTTTATTTGTTTATTTATTAGATAAGAAAAAAAAATAAGAATTTAAGTGCCAATAACCATATAATATAAATAGCAATAATTAATTCACTTACTCAAAATATCAAAAAGTTTTTCAAGATGTGGCATATATTCTTGACTGTGAAGATAAAGTTCAAACTCCAAAGATGAAAAAACTGAGAATTCTTGTTCTATAATTTCTTTTGTTGTCACCTCCAAACGTTTATGTAAAGACTATTTTTAATTTGATCAATTGGTCCCAAATTAGTATTAGTAAGAAAATTAATTGAGAAAATTTAACTCATTGTAAATATATAGTTATTAACCTCCAATAATGGTGAATATGACATTCCCATTGGTTCATTCACTTTACTGGCTAATAATAAACAGATTGCTAATTTGAATCAAAGAAAACTTTTTAATATATAACTTTTTATATACCAAATAAATGACTAATATTTATAATAAATACCTCCAATCAATTTTCGATTGTTCTTCTTTACCACATTCTATTATTATACATTTAGAATTCAATTTGGGAATCAATGCAAACAGGATGAAAAAGAGAAGATAAAATTACCTTTAAAACAAGTTTTTCAAAATATGCATAGGATTTTGCAACAGTAGAAAGTTCCAAATCTAAACCCTATAATTGCAGGGATATATAGATATTAAATAAAAATATTTAATAATCATAATTATCATAATTATTGCTTTTACAAACAGACCTCACAAGTAGCTGTAGCAAATAATTTGGCCTTGATTTTTCGAATTTGACTTAGGGTTAAAGATGGATCAATTTCAGGATGTAATTGACGAAATATTGCATTTGTTTCCCGTTTCAAATCAGAAGGACGAGTATTATGATTAATAAATGTTCCCTAACAATGATCATTAAAAAATGACTATTATTATTTTATCCATATTTCTGATAACAATGATGATCTTAACAATATTGTTAGACGCAGATTTACCATAAGCCCTGATAAACTTAACATTGAACGATTCTTATTTGATTTGGCTTCTTGAAATTCATTTGAAAAAAGTTGTCTTTCTGTTTTCAATTCTGGATTGTCTAACAGATTTGGGTCGTAATTACTAGTGACCTGTTTTGAACTATATATTTTTATATTTTTAAATACAAGTATCAATTATATAAATCACACATATCTATAATGGCTTCTTTTTTTTAGACTACCTTAATGCTTTACTTGTATTTAAAAGGTGTGCAAATGATTCCGCCTATCAAATTCAAACCAAATTCATGCGTGAATAAGCTTCCTTTTTTTAAAAAAAAATTAAATAATTATTATAATCACCTTTCTACTTTTTATATTTTCCAAATTTGATGATGGTTTTCTATAACTTTCAATTTTTGATTTGGTAATTATTCATCATCAATAAATAATAAAGGAAAATTTGTTCAAGAAAAAAATAAATTTAAAATATATTATAAAGCTAGACATACAAGTTTCCCTTATGATTTTTCTGATGTTTAGATTTCTTGTCTGAATATCCCAACATTGAAAAAATTCCAAGTGGTGCCTTTTAACAACAAACAGTAAAAACAATTATTGTTATCAAATTTATATACATTAATAAAAGCCACATAATTTTTACTCACTGAAGAACCTAAGAACAAACCAACACCATTTTGTTGTTTACGATCATCAACATTTTGATCACCAGCAGAACTGTCATTACTACTGCTATTGTTGTTATTTTTATTCCTATCCGCTTGATTATGATGCTTCTTTAGGCGACGTTGTTCCGATTTGCTACGAGTTATTGGATGATTTGGAGAGTTAGGTGATGTGTTAGAAGTCGAAGAAGAAGAACTTGTGTCAGACTTTAATGTGGATGCTAAGAATTAGGGGCATTAGTTATTATTATTTTTTTAATTTTTGTAATTATCATAATCTATGTATTAACTACATTATAATTTAATTATTATTGATTTCTATTATATTGATTATTTTTTCACTGAATTCTACTATAGTGGCTAACCTGAACTTCTTCTGCGTCTTCTTTTAACGTAAGCAGATGATGTTGTTGGAGACAATGAACCTTCTATCATAAGATTCAAATTTCTTTGTTGGTCCTCAGCACCATCCACATCAACTTCATCAAATGAGTTATCATCACTAACCCCGAATCCTGAAACTGATTGCTTGATTGTTGTCGGACTAGTTAAACCTCCTCTTGAAGAATGATGATGAACTGCAACCTTGGATGGTTTCTTATTAGGATCAAGATTAATAATGTTCGTCAAGAAGTTGACGGCTGCTTCTTCATGAAGACTGCCACTTCTTACACGACCTTTGTTGCTAGAAGAGTTTAAATTATCATCATAACCATCCTTTAAGTTTATGGGGGAAGTTTTATTGTTATTAAATATTTTTTTATTGGGTGATTCTCTAGTTTGGGAAGTAACATAAATTCCTGTTGTTGCATTATTATTAGAAACTTTTTCAAAAGGGATATTCGCTTTTTTGGTATCAATACGCAAGTCTGGTCTGTTATTATTGTCGTTTTTGTTGCTGTTGTTATTGTTGTTGTGATTGGTATGATTGATATTATTATTATCTTCATTAACAATTCTAACTTGAAAAGAAGAAGTTTTGACATATTTATTGTCATTATTTAATAATATATCACTATTTAAATCACTTGGTGTAATTAAATCTTCGTCGTCGTCGTCTTCCTCCTCTTCCTCCGAGTGTTTATCCTTGTTTAATAATAATTGGTTTTTATTTTGTTGATAAGCTTTTTGAAGTGGCAATTGTTGTTGTTGTTGTTGTTGTTGGTATGGGCTGGTGATAGAGTGGCTGGGAACAGCCGACACTCTATGATGGTTACTATTATTATTTGGTGGATAGGAAGACTCAGATCCGAGGCTAATATTTGAAAGAAAAGTGAAAGCAGCTTCTCTAGAGGAATCTTCTCGTCTAGGTGGTATTCGACGAGGTGAGGTCTTGGTCATTGGTAATGATAAACTTGATAAGCGTTTATATCGCTTGGGAAAATTTTCATAATTGCCAAATTCACAAACCATATTTATTTCATCGTCAAATCATTACCTCATTTGGTTATTTGTATATATATGTGACGCATAAGCTTTCATTTTTCTCCTTTTTTGGACTAAAACATATGATGAATTCATTATCATGTGGTCGTATATATATATAATGTTGAATCAAAACACCAGAATATTGGTTATTGGTCACGCGATACATTATACAGATCAGATTTTCCAAACGGAAGTGTTTTTTTTGTATGATCATAGTTTTTAAATCAATGGAACAATGTGAGCGATTTCCAAACACTGTGTTTTATAATAAAATTGCACGTGAACGATATGGTTAATTTTAACAATATATATTTCATTAACTTCAAAAAAACAAGATTAACACTATCATCGTCTCGTTCATTATCCTTTATCTATAACTATCACACGCCTTCAACCATATGTCAACTTCTTTATAAGGAAAAGACCAGAAAATATTTCACGTAAATCAAAACAACATTGAAACTTATGAAATCGATAAAAATAAAAAATCATAAATAAGATTATTTATTTCTTTTAAAATACCTTTAGAAGTTTTTAATATTCGCATTTTTCATAAATTTTTTGTGGGGCATTATCGTTTCCAACATTTCTCGTGATTTTTTTTTTAGAAATAATAATATCGTTATTGATAATCCTAAGTCATCACCGAAAAGTGCTTGAGTTCATTAAAAATATTTGAATCAAGTCAACCAACCCCGTAGTATTTTAACGAAAAAAAAAAGGTGTATTGAATAAGAAACAAGAAAAGTACAAAGAAATAATTGACGATAAAAATAAAAAAAAAGAATCCTTTGTCAAAAAATTTCAAAGTATGAGGTTAAATATAATATTACATGAATTAGAAAATTTTATTATTTTTAAAGTATAATACATTAAGAAGTTAAAATTAAAATATAAAAAAGTTTTTTTGCTCTGTCGATATATATTTTTATTAATGTCATTTAAATTATTAATTTATTTCATTAGCGACGACTTTATAACTTTCCAAATTCTCAATATTAATAATATCTTTAGGTTCAGTATTATTTTCATTTAATGGCAATAAAGTAAGATACACCACAAAAGCAAAATAAATAATACCAAGAACAAATCCAACATACAAATTGGGTAATTCTTCTAGGTAAACCACAAAAAGAAAAAGATTGAAACAAATGAGAATTGAAGCCAGTAACCAAGAAACAATTCTCCAAAAGTATTTAGTTTGAAAACTTTTGCTCATTATATTTGCAGAACTTGAGATTTTTAGAATTGGTATCAGTGCAGTTGGCAAGCATAAACTTTGAAGTACATTTAACAATTCACCCATTGTATCAAAATGTTCAACCTGATAAAAAAAAGAGAGAGTTGAGAATTTATTTTATTTTCTTAAATAATAAATTCACAATTCCACAAAAATTTATTTCTACTTACAGCAAAAATAGCAACCATCATTGAAGGTATCAAAGCGATTCCACGAGTTATGGCAACACGATTCCAAGAATTTTTAATAAAAAGTTTCCCAAAAAATCCTTCCATCACGTATTGACCAGCCAAAGTACCAGTCATTGTGGAACTTTGACCAGCAGCCAATAAACCCAATGCCCAAAGATATCTTGCGCCTTTGCCTAAAGTTTTAGTCAAAACATCAGCAGCATCATATAAACCTGGCAGATGTGGTGAGTCACTACTTGGTGGATAGAAAACTCTAGCGAAAACAACAACTATAGCCATGTTTATCAAATATGAACATAACAAAGCAATTGTGCTTTCTATTCCAAAATAAAAATTTGCTTCTTTAAGTTTTGCTTTTGAATTTTGATCTGTTTTACGTGTCATCACTATTTAATCAATATTAATAGAGAGAATTAATATATATTATAGATAGATATATTATATTGTATTATAGATGTATTATAATTACATACCTAATGCAGAGTGAAGATATAAATTATGTGGCATAATAACTTTATAATAACAAAAATAATAATATTTAATTTGTTTTCAAAAAATAGTTTCCAAAAAATATATCCCTCTCAAAAATGAAAAATAACAATTACCAGCACCAATCATGGCGACAGCTTGTATAACAGCATTGGAAGGAACAGAGGGTAACAACATCCCAGTTATTATTCCGCCAACATCGGGATCGGTCTGAAACATTTCTATCCAAAAACAAACAGCCATCAAGCCAATTAAGAGCATGAAGAAAGCTTCCAACTTCCTAACACCATAATTTTGTAATAACATGAAGGTGAAAGTGTCCATGGCGGTCAACATTGTACCAATCCATAAAGGCAATCCGAAAATAATTTTTAATGCTATTGCAGTACCAACTATCTCTTGTATGTCAGAACCGACAATAGCTATCTCAGTTATTACCCAAAGTAATATTGATACAGGACGTGAATAATATTGTCTTATTAATTGAGCTAAATGCTTTCCCGTCACCACACCAACTCTAGCTGATAAACACTGTATTAATAGACCGGCTAAATGTGCATACAATAGAAGCCAGAGCTATGTGAATGAATAAATTAACGTGGTTGTTTGATTAGATTGAATTGATTAATTGCAATTCTCTCAAAAAAAAAAATTTAAAAAAATTTCATATTTACCAAGGAATAACCTGCAACAGCACCTGTTTGTAAATCAGCCTCTAAGTTTCCAGGATCAAGGTATGCCACAGACATTAAAAACCCTATATATAATTTTAAATATTATAAGTATATATAATATACCAAAAATAAAATTTTGAAAGTTCTAAAAATTCATGCATAAGGCTTTATTTAAATATAACACCTTTGTTAAAAAAATTTATTTGCATATATAATTCACACTGAATGTAACAATCTCATAGATCTATTTAAATATATATATTTATATTTACCGGGACCAGTATATTTCCATAACTTTGACCATGAAAATCCACTTTGTACATCGCCAGTATCTATTTCAGCTTCAATCAGTTTATCACCATTCTCTATAAAATTATAAACATCGTGATCTGAAGAGCCATCTATAATTTCATTTTCTACGTCTACATTACTTGAACTAAGATTTATAAGTGGTGTAGCAGAATCTGTTGAAATTTCTTCTGGTGGCATTTTGTATGTTGTTAAAGACGAATGAGTTAAAAGATGTGAGTTTATTTTGACTTGATGGCTGAAAGTAATAGTTTAAAGGAATTATGAAGTATGTATGTGTGTGTGTGATTCGATAGGTTTTAAGAGTTTTTTTCTATTATTATATAATAATGAATGAATGATATTTTGTCAACTTGAATTAATTCCTATGTTACACGGATTATATATGCGGAATATTCATTTTAAACGAGAATTTTTTTCATAAAAAATAAAAAATCAAATTAAAATTAGTTTACATCACTAAGTCTTGATTTATTTTAATAGTCAAAAAAAATAGCATAATAGGAAAAGTCGCGGGCATACAAACAGGTGACGTTCAAAAAGAACCAATATAACTATAGAAGATGCAAATTATCCAAATGAGACCAACGAATGCAATAGATCTTTAACACTGACGTTTGGGTTGCTCAATGAATCTTGGAAATGACTTAACGCACTCCAAGGATAAGCTTGTAGTAATCAATCACATATTCAAATTTGTCGAACTGGAAGAGATTAGAACAGAATACCAATATCACTAATAGAAAATACAACTTAATGGCCCTTGAATCCTATTCACTGAAATAATACTGATATTACTAATAGAAATGCAAGCTTCAGTGGATCTTGAAAACATCCTATTCGCTCTGAAATAATATCGATATTCTTATAGAAAATTCAACGTCAATGGATCTTAAAAATATCTTATTCGTTATGAAATTCTTATAGAAAATTCAACGTCAATGGATATAAAAAATAATTTTATTCATCCTAACTCATAATATTACATAAGTTAGTTCATCCATATCATAATCTTTGTAAATTATTTAGATCAAATAAAAATAGGCTTGTAATTATTCAACGTTCTGGTCTTCATTACTTGATTTTTTAATATTCTTAAGAAGCAGAGGGAAAGCTAATCTATATCAACTGTCCACAATTGACTATTATACTGAAATTAATCTTCATGGTACTCGAGATGACTTTACTACATAGCAAATTATTATAATCATGAAAATTAATAGAACATCTGTATTAATTGGTGGCTATATCCATCCAGTTGATCGGCATATAAATAAGTAAAGTCTCCAGATGAGGAATATGATATTGAAACAGAAAAAATGAGCAATTGAAAAAATTTAAATAGTCAAAGATCCTAATGGTGCATTATGTCATAAAGCTGATAAAGATGATGATACAGTGATGAGCTTATAAATTCTTATGATTCACCAGTGTAAAACGGGATTTACGAGTCTATTGGACTATATGAAAAACATAAAAAAAGATGTCTAGCATTTAAAGAAAATGGAAAGACACAAAAATGAAAATTTTATTTTTTTAGATAGTTTAAATATGCAGTTTACACGTAAAAAAGCATGTAGTGCATTGAATTGTTTCAAAAAAGGAATCATTTAGAAATAATTCATGGTGCATTGGATTCATCTCATTTGGTAATAAATTCAAGAAATATATAATAATTGTCAATTCCTTAATATAAAAAAGTAATTATAGAATAATTCATAAATAAATTTAATAATAACAATGATGAAAAATTTAAATTCAACCCTTTATAAAATATAAAACGAGGAGGGATCACGTAAAAGTATTGCTAAGGCATTCTTGGATTACCCCTTTGAAAGTACGGTACGGTTTTATTGGAAAGTCCAAACATTTTAATTACAAAAGTTGTTATACTTTCTTCAATGATTTTGGATTTTTTATAAGCAAGCATTTACATTATTATTATTGAGGGGAGCCCCTGAAATCTTTGTTGCGGTTTTAGTCTATTTATAGTGATCTTCTTATATTATTATCTATTTTAATCCTTTTTTTTTCGCTTGCTTTTTTATTTTAAAAGAAAAAATTTTTTTTTGATATAAATACATAGTTATAAAATGACTTATAATAATTATAATGCTTCAGGCGTTCCTGTTCCTTTAGGAACTTCGGCTTACAATCAACCAACCTATTATCTCAATAATTATAACAATTACAATAACAATAATTATAACAATAATTATAACAATAACAATGAATATAATTCCAATTGCAATGGTAATTACAATGGTAATGATAATGGAATTGCCAATAACAGAGCATTAAATCCTTATGGTAATGATGATAATAATGGTTTCATTCGTAACGATAACAACAGCAATAAGAATAATAACATCACTAATAATAATAATAATAACACTAATCAAGGTTCTGTTCCTTACTCGACAAATAATTACGACAATGGAGGTCGTAAAGATCGTAAAGAGTAATCAATAAATTATAATTTCTTCCTTGTATATATTAATTAATTAATTTTTACATTAATCTTTTATTCTATAAAAAAATTTTTTTTTTTAAAAAAAGATATAATACAAATTATAGAGACTACAATAATAATATGGGTTATAACAACAACAACAACAACAATACTAACCATTATACAACATCCATTAACCAATATTCGGAAACATATTCCAATAATAATAATAATAATAATAAAATTAACAACAAAATGTCAACGACAACAACTAATAATAATACTTTTGGATCCAGTTTAGTTAGTCAGGATTGGGGTTCTACAAGTCTTCCAAAATTTGAAAAAAATTTTTATAAAGAACATCCTAATGTTATAGCTAGATCTGAAGCTGAAGTGGAAGAGTTTCGTAGAAAACACGAGATGAAAGTTTTTGGTCAGGATATACCAAAACCTGTTGAAACTTTCGAGGAAGCAAAATTTCCCGGTAAATAACATAACATTAAATTTTTTTTACCTCTTCATTTCGTTTATATCATAATTCATCTCATTAACTTCTTATCCTCTCCTCATTAACCATTCTCATCCATTTCATCTTTCTTTAGATTATGTATTAAGAGAAGTATTAAGCCTTGGTTTTCAAGAACCAACACCAATTCAATCTCAGGGGTGGCCAATGGCTCTCTCTGGTCGTGATTTAGTTGGCATTGCTGAAACTGGGTCAGGTAAAACTTTGGCTTATTGTCTACCGGCAATTGTTCATATCAATGCACAACCGTATCTTGAACCCGGTGATGGGCCCATAGTATTGATACTGGCTCCTACACGTGAACTGGCACTTCAGATTCAGCAAGAATGTAAAAAATTTGGTAATTCAACGAACATTAAAAACACTTGTGTCTATGGTGGCGTCCCAAAAGGTCCTCAGACACGTGAGTTGTCTAATGGCGTAGAAATTTGTATAGCAACCCCTGGTCGTCTGATAGATATGCTTGAAACAAAAAAAACCAATCTTAAGCGTGTCACCTATTTGGTACTTGATGAGGCTGATCGTATGTTGGATATGGGGTTTGAACCTCAAATTCGTAAAATTGTTGACCAAATCAGGCCTGATCGTCAAACACTTATGTGGAGCGCAACGTGGCCCAAAGAAGTTAAAAAGCTTGCTGATGATTATTTAAAAGATTTCATACAAGTTAATATAGGCTCCATGGACTTGTCGGCTGGTCGTAACATTACACAAACTATCGAAGTCTGTTCTGAATATGAGAAACGTGATATGTAATTATTATGTATTTATAATATTTATGACATTTATTTATTGATTGATGTCTGATAAACATTTTTTTATTCTACTTATGTAGGTTGCTTAAACACCTTGAACATATTATGAACCAAAGTGAAAATAAAACATTAATTTTCACTGCCACCAAACGTACAGCAGATGACGTTACTAAATATTTACGTCAGGATGGTTGGTCAGCTCTTGCAATTCATGGTGATAAGGCTCAAAGTGAACGTGATTGGGTGTTGGGTGAATTTCGTAGTGGAAAATCTCCTGTGATGGTTGCTACTGATGTTGCTTCTAGAGGAATTGGTATAGTTTAACAAATTATTTTGTATTTTTTTAATCATTTATTTGGTTTTTCTTTGGAAAACATGATTCCTTTTATATTGTTTCATGCGTGTACACGTATACAGTAGTATCTATATATGTGTAGTGTGTATGTATACAGCAGTATCTATACATTTGCGTGTGTATGATTTTCTTTCTTTATGTTATACGTGTGTAAGTCCCTTTTGCCAGTTTTTTTGGTAGTTCCAGGTAACAATTAAAAAGGTGGAATTGGCTTCTATGATTGATTTTTAATTTTATAATATATACATGTGCAGGAAGATTCATGATGTCGTCGTTTTTTTTTTATCTCAAAAGAAGCTTCATTCTCTTAAAATATATATATATATATATATATTATAAAGTATTTTGCCTGCAGCTGCTCAATATACCTGGCATTTGGGGGATTACATTTATCTTTATGATTGTAGTTTTTCTTTTTTTCTTCTTTGTTATTACTTTTTTTCTTTGTCTGTCTGTCCGTCTTTTTAATGGTGCAATTTTATTTATTCGCACTGTTGAAAAAAATGTTTGTGATCTATGTGCTGAAACTACTACTCTGTTGTTGTTGTCTGCATTAATATCACTATCATTTGGACACTGGACTGGATAAGTACCTCCCTAGTTTGATTTATTTAATTTATGATATCTGGATATATGAATATAGAATGTTTACAGATTTCCAATAATTTTCTAACTAAACATTTTTTTGGTTTTTAATTTAATAGATGTTAAAGATATCAAGCTTGTAATTAATTATGATTTTCCTACCAATGTCGAGGTAAATACTATACATGGTTATCTTTTTTTTAAAAAAAAAATATATTTTAAATCGAAGACAATTATCAAATTTTATGAATTTATTAGGATTATGTCCATCGAATTGGTAGAACAGGTAGAGGTGGAGCGAAAGGATTAGCGGTTTCATTTTTCACTACTGATAATGCTAGACAAGCTAAATATTTGGTAAATGTTTTAAGAGAAGCTAATCAGGAAGTTGATTCGAAATTATTAGATTTGGTTAAATCTGCTAGTGGCAATGCTAATAATGGTATGTGCTTATATGGGTTTGGGATTTTTTTTAATTTGAGAATAATCAATTTTATTTTTTTGGTTGGAATGATAGGTCGTCAAAGATACTCTAATAATCATAATGTTGGTGTACGTAATTATAACAACAACAACAACAACAATGCATATGGCGGATTAAATTATAATAATAATAATAATAATAATAATAATAACAATAATAATTTCAACAACAATTTCAAAAATAATTTCAACAACAATTTCAACAACAACAATTTCAACAATAATTTCAACAATAATTTCAACAATAATTTCAACAACAATTTCAACAATAATTTCCACAATACTATTAATAATTGGTAGAAAGAAATTCTAATTGAACATTTATTATATATGTTTATGCAAGTATTATAATTAAAAAAGAAACAATGTAATTAGATTTTTTTTTTAATTTTATATATATTGTATTTAAAAAAGTTATTTTATTTTTCAAAAAAAAAAATAGATTTTTATTTTATTTTATTACATAGAAAATAAATTGTTAATAAAAAAATTTGTTTTTGTGTTACTATTTACATAAAATCAAAATCAAAATTTTTTCTTGATTATCTTAAAAATATGGGTGTACCTACAAACGATAATAACGATAATACCGATAATACTGCTACTAGTACTACTACTACAGCAGATCAAAATATTACCGGCACCATTACAAATATAGATAGCGATAATAAAAAACAAAAAAAAATTGATAGTAAATATCATCGTATTGCGCTTGGCGATATCACACCAAATAATTTAGGTCAGCTTAAACGTTTAAATAGTGTATTATTTCCAGTAAATTATAGTGAAAAATTTTATAAAGATGTATTAGAAGTTGGTGAATTTGCCAAATTTGGTAAGATGTCAATTATTATTTTTTGGGAGAGTTACATATTATATATATATATATTTATCTATTCTTTTTTTCAAAAAAAAAAAAAGCATATTTTAATGATGCTTGTGTTGGAGCTGTATGTTGTCGTAAAGAACCAATTGATGGTGGTGGTGGAACCACAACATCATCACTTGATCAATCAAAACTTTATATTATGACATTAGGAGTTTTGGCTCCATATCGTAAATTAGGATTAGGTAATAATAATAATACTGGCTTTTTTTTTCTTTTTTTCTTTAGTTGATTAAAGTAAATTTTTTTTTGTGGAATGGGTTTAATTAGGCTCTAAGCTATTACAACATATTTTAAACCATGCAACAAGTATAAATAATAATAATAATCAACAACAACAACAATCATTGAAGACCTTTACTGAAATTTATTTACATGTACAAATATCAAATGAAGAAGCTTTAGATTTTTATAAAAAATATAAGTTTGAAATTACTGGAGTTGAAGAAAATTATTATAAAAAAATTACTCCAACAAATGCATATATTTTGAGCAAAAAATTATAATACAATTTTATTTTTTTTTTATGCAATAAAAGATTTATTACATTATTATTTATTTGCTTTTATTTGAATTTGAGTTTTAAAAAAAGATTAAGAAAAAGAAATTATTAAAAGAATGATGATGATATGCGTAAAAAAAAATACTGAAGCTTGATAGCAATCAACTTACACAAATCTCAATCATATTGTTTGTCACATCTTTTCATTGTTGTTTACATTCAGGTATTTCTATCAAAATAGGTATATGTTGGTAATAAAGTTAATAATAAACATTAATCAATCACCAAAAAATCAATTGAAAACTTGATATTTACCCACTTTCCCGCTCTTTCCAATTGCCTATAAAAAAATACATATAATTATTAAAAGATCATTGAAAGAATAAATCCCACTTTAGAGTATTTATTTATTTACATTGGCATTTTTACTATCATCATCATCATCGTCGTCATCGTCATCGTCATCATCAAGCCCATCATCAAAATCATCAAGCTCATCGTTATCCTCAAAATCATCATCACTGCTATAATCAAATGTTTCCTCATATTTTAAAGCTTTGCCAGTGTACCAATCGATAGCATGAGGAATAAGTTTATCTTTTAATTCTTCACCAATCTGATAATCAATTTCCAATTGTAGATCTAAATCATCGTCGTCGTCGTCTTCATCATCATCTAATTTACTTGGTGGGATTGGTGGACTGAAAAATTTAAAGAATGAATCTACTGGTACTGTAGTTTTCACTATACGAGATTTTTTTGTACCTAGAAATCAAAAAATCAAAACCAAAATCAGTATCATAATAACTCAATAATAATAGTAATAGTAATAATTATGATTATGATTATGATTATGAGATAAATACTTTTATGTTTTTGTTTTTTTGTTTCTATTTTAACAGTAAGATTTTTTCCTAGCCTCCAATTTATTTTTTCACCTTCAGCGTGATCGTAAATAAAATCACCACCATACCCAGGTTCTTCTTGATAATAATAGGTTTTTGATAAAGTTTTGTTTGTAAAGAAAGGATTTTTTTCGTCAAATTCAAATTCTAATTTAAACCCTGGTTTTTCTTCAAGATATAACATTCTAATATCAACCAGATGTTTTAATGCATCTTCATCTTGCTCAGTAATCAAGTTTTCAATACTTTCTACGTTTTTCATGGCTGTAAGCCAAAATTCAGGAATCCCTTTACTAGGATTGCAAACTTCTTGTGTTTTTTTATCCTCTTCGGTATCTTTATCTAGAGTACCTTTTTCAGTATCTTTTTCTTCAGTATCTTTTGCTAGAGTACCTTTTTCAGTATCTTTTTCTTCAGTATCTTTTTCTTCAGTACCTTTTTCAGTATCTTTTTTTTCAGTACCTTTTTCTTTGATATCATTCTTCTCAGTATCATTTTCTTTAGCGTCATTCTTTTCAGTGTCTTCTCCCTTAGTATCAATTTTCTTTTCTTTAATATCTTTTTCTTTGATAGTATCCTTTTCAGCCTCTTTCTCCTCCTCTTCATCTATTTTAGTTCCTGCTTCCACAGCTTCTTCTGATGGCTCACAATCCCCACGTACAATTTTTGAACGAACATCATATAAAGGTTTATATAGCTCCGAGTATTTTTTTTCAACAGCTAAAATCTCTTGTTGAAATTTTGCTTCTAATTTCGCGTGTTCTTGTTGATAATACTTCAATGCATTTACTCGTTTCTTAACAGGTTCAGATAAATTTTCGATGTAACTTGATTTCTTCCCTATCAGTGTATCAAGTTTACTTTGAAGAAGAGAAACTAAGTGAGGTGAAGGAGTTGCCATCGTTAATGTAAAAAAAAAAGGGCCAAATTTCACAAAATCTAATTGGACCCCTAGATCTACTTGAACACGCCAAAATGGGAAGAGCAAAAAAATTCGATTATTTAAATATATATATATATTTATTATTTATTGGTTTATAAACATTACATATTATGTACGTCTATATAAAAAAAAAATAAATTAAAACAGTAAATTCATTAACTAACAATAATTTTATATTAATTTAATATGCAGACATTTCATTAACAGAATCTAAAGAATCCATTGAAGAACTTCTTCTATGTTTATAATATTGATGTACATGAATATTAACAGTAGTTTGTGGTAAAGACATTAATGATGCAAGATATGATGGGTCATTAACATCCAAATTCAAACCCATATTGTTTAGTATATTATTTGTGTCTTTGTTAGCTGGAGGATTTAATATGGTAATCGTTGAAGGATTATAACAATATTTTTGCTGTAATTCATGTAATTTCGATATTTCTTTTTGCTGTTTCCGTTGCGATTTTTGTTGTTCCAATTGAGATTTCTGTTTCTTATCAAGGAGGAAAGTGCGCACAAACCATTTCATAGTCTTATTCTTGTTCGACATTGATGATTTTTGTTGTTGGCTAAGTTGTGAATTTGTCATATAACCAAGAGCGAACGAATTTTGGGTTAATGTTGGAGAAGCGGTGTTGGTTGATTGAGGGTATATTGTACTATTATACTTGGAATTAGAATTTTTATTGCTATTACTGATGCTACTGTTACTACTGCTAAAAGATGCCGTTGTATCTGTTGGAGTATTTGATGAAAATTTATAGCTAGGTGACATCGGTGGAGTGTTGAGAGAAAAGCCTGTCTTACTAGAATCGATACTACCGTTGCTGAGAAGTGGTCTTACAGCTCCATAACTATCCACCAAATCTTTTTTACACTTTTTAAAAGCATTATGTAAAGCTGGATCAAATAAAAATGCAATACAATTAAAAAATCCAGGTAAGCATGATCCAATAATTGACCATAAGATCAAAGGCAGAGGTTCGCTTTTAACATCCTTGTGAATTGAACTATACATAGTAAGCACTACAATGCCGCTTACGCTCAATAGAGGTATTATGGAATAAAGAGCAATACGACTAACTAATTTTAATAATAATATTTTTTTATCTCTAGCTTTGGCTGTCAATGTTGTATTACTTTTTGAAGTAGTTATAACATCTGCCAGTTTTCGATGTTCAAAGATTAATTTACACACCACAACCATCAACACAATAGTGCAATAAACCATCAAGATTGTTATTGGAACGAAAAAAGTTGCAAATTTCCACCATTTTGTTTCTTCGGAAAAGCTATTCCGATATAAGCATTCGTGAGCATCATTATCATATCCAAAAACTTTATAGATTAGTGGCGGTACGTTTATTATTAATGCAAGCAGAACTGCTACTGGGATATACCATCTGTCCGAAAAACTCGAAACTTTTTTTCTATGAAGAAATACAATCTAAAGGGAGATATATAGGATAGAAGAAAAAGAATATTATTATTATTTTACGAAATTTAAATTTACACGCCCACACACGCAATTTAGTTACTTGGTTAATTAATATTACCTGTAAATTAAATGCTATCATAGCAGTTAGAAGCAAATATAATAGAGGAAGAAAACTCATCGTAAATCCAATAGCTGTACATATTGGGTCATCGAGAGGTATCCGAAGTGTATATGCCAACACGGCTCCACCGGTCAATATATCCACAAAGGAAATCATCGCAGTCAATCTTAGTGACACGCGATTAACTAATTTTCTATCATAAAACCACATAATGGTCATTATCAATAATACCAAGAATCCAGATGAAATACTGATAACACTCAGGTACAAATTTAATTTATGTAAAATTGCATCTAATTGTTGACGTTTAACATCATCATCAAAACTTGTATTCTCGGGATAATCTTCGTAAGGAGCATTTGGATCGTTGTATGGATTATAATCAGTATCGTTACTCATTATGATATTTTATATTTTATATAATATAATAATAATATGCGTGAAAAATGAATTTTCTTTTCGTATACAACGGTAATATTTAGGAGAGCGAGAGAAAGAAAAGGAGAGGGGGAAAAAAAATGAATGAATGAATATTTTAATAGTTTTTTTTACTTATTTTATCAAAACTTGTTGCTAAAAAAAAGGAAAAAGTAAAAAAAAATATTAAATATTTTTTGAAAAATGAAAAACAATTTCGAATTATTTATATTATTTTGATAATCTAAATTATTTACTTTATTTCCTCATTAATACTAAATATTTATCAAACTAATTTAGCGTCAGGTTTCTGCATTGTTTAAAGTTGCAGACATTGTTATAAAAAGGGAATTTTTTTAATTTATAAGAGCATACAAACGAACAAAATCAGTAAATTATAATATTAACACTATTATCAAATTTAGTAAACAATGATCTGTTATCATTTTATTACATTAATTTGGAAATCTAATTTACCATAATGTTTAAAAATTCCAAGTTGTTATGCATAACGGTAAAAATTAATTAACACACATGAAATTGAATTCCTCGTAAAAAACCAATAATAATAATAATAATAACGATAACAACATTGGATGATTTTCGTTTCATTATTATTATGTGAATAGATATAGAAATATGTCGATTATAGAATATCAACCAACATATAAATTAATAATAATCTTGAAAATCATCTGCATTGTACACTCGTTTGAAAGGTTTTAATCCCGATTATGCTAACTGTTCAAGTGCTTGACCAAGTAGAAAATCGTAAACGATTTTCTGGACCAGGGAAGACATGTTAAAAAAATTTTTTTTTGTTTGCTGTGATTAAAAGCCTACTTATTCATTACCTTAATAATATAAAATCGTAATGTAACGTATATGAAACATTATGCCACAAAAAAAACCATTTTTCAGGTGTAGTAACCAGCTACATGATGATAGCAGTCCTTAATAACGTGATTGTGATATTATTATATAGAGGATGAAACAAGAAACTGTTACGAAGCCATAATAATTGGTGTAATAAATCTGAAAGCATGGATTCAATAAGGATTTAGTTTTTCCCCTTCTGGTTTGCTTTCAATTTGTTAATGGGATTTTGTTTTAGACGGCAAGCTGTTTTCTTTCAATGACAAACTGTGAATATTCAACCTTTTGTCAAATTCCTCTCAGCTATTGTTAGTAAGGGCTTGTGATCTGCGTGTTTCAACATACAAGGCACTCTTGTTATAATAACATTCTCATTATATCAAAACCAAAAGTTTATGAATATAATTTACTTGTGTTATAATGACTGACATTCACCGTTATACGATAATTTTGTTGGGTCGGTCACCCATAATTTATATCTATTTGTAATTGCTTCAAGCAATATACTCATGAGTTGGCTATCTTTTTTTGAGGAGAAAAATTCGGGAGTAACTTCAAAAAATTCTTCTTCTTTATTTTATATGTTGAACTAACATTATTAACAACCTCTAAAAACATATGCTTTAAACCTCATCTGCTTGTAAAATTTAGATGATAACATTTTGATCAAATGCCAAGGAATTTCAAATATTTATTATTATTTACATACAATATATATATATACAACAAGAGCTATTACGCAATAAAAAGTATTTTTTCGAGAACTTTTTATAATTGTGGTATGACAAACTTTCATCAATATTAAAATCATTCAACTTTTCCAAAGGCCAGAGATTTTTTTTATGGAATCTCTAACTTGGATATTCAAAATTAATTAATTTACAAATAATTCAAATATTTGAATAGAAAACTTTAAAATCAATAAATAATAAGAACGCCAGTGACAAAGTCGTTGTCATAAATCATATTTCTAGTATTTTTTTTCAAACACTAATGGCTATAATCGCCATAATATAACAATAATAATTTATGGACTTTTAGCCAGTGGTTGAAACGAAGAATCTATCCACTAACTATATGAATTGATATACATATGTGACCCGCCATCAATTCTTATTATGTTTAACTTCAAACTACAAAAATAGATTTTCTCAATTTTCAATTCATCACAATGTACTCGGCAACATTGTTAATGATTTTATCTGATTGCAAAGCATAAAGCCACTATTATATATAGCAAGCACTTTAATAATTTCGTTGAACAAAATTCGATTTTTATGACAAAGATGGCGTTATTTTGAATTCTCCCAATTGTAACTATCTTTTTGTTTACTTTATATAGACTGACTCTATTTACTTTTTATCAAAATATTTAGTTAAATTACAATATATTAATTATTTATATTTTAAAAAAAAATCATGGTAAAAATAAAAAATATTAATTTTATATAAATAAGTTCCAAACCACAAACATCACTAGATATGAATTTGATTTAAAAGTGTAAACTATTGGTTGTTAATGTATTATTGTAAATTAAGTTTAGCAGCAAAATCAAACAGTCTCTTTGAAAAGCAACCGATAGTTATATCTCAATGTATATGAATGCTGAAATACTTTTATGATAAATCAACCGCTAGAATTTGGTGTTGACGAAGCTATTCTTTAAATAATGCAATTTTCATTTTTCAATTTTTCAAGATTTGTTCTTTTCATTATTATCAATTAATCCTGTTAGAGAAAATAGAAATAGAAAAAAATTTAAAGACAACTGTTACACGCCATTTAATTAATTGTTATTTCTCAAAAAAAAAAAAAAAAAAAAAAATCTTCACTATTCATTAAAGCACAAGTCAAATTTTGAATTTTATAAAAATATTTATTTATAATGAATTATTATCACCAAAAAGAGTGAAATTTGTATTTAAAACTAGTAATGAGATGTATAGTGATGCTCTGGTTAATTCTGATAGAAAAGATTATTTTTTTTTATTAGTCAAGAGCTTTCTGAAAATGGAAAAAGAATATTGTAAAAGAAAAGTTTATTTATGAGTTTGAATTAAGAAATGCAAGCTTATAAAAAAAGGCAAACCAAAAGAATGTAAAAAGTGTAAATTGACAAATTTCTGTGATAGATTCTGTGAAGTTTGTATTGATTAACAATTACAGAGTCTTTTCACTACTTGGATATCTGGAAATAACATTATTGATAACTTTATTCAACAATGTCAAATGAAATCATCTTTTGCCACAATATATTTTAGAATGTATACCTTTTGAGCAATTTGAAGATATAACAAGATTAACTGAAGGTGGATTTAGTTCAATTTATACTGCTGGATGGACAAGAGGATAAATAATTGATTATGATAATAATAAAAAAGGAATTTAGTTATTTTGGAAGGCAAAATGTAGTATTAAAAAAATTTTAAATGATTCAAGTAATCCAGAAAAAGGCTTTTTCGATGAGGTTGGTAGTTGTCGTTTATATCAAAAATAAATAATACAATACTAATTGATTTTATATTTATTTCAGGCAATGAATTATTGCAAACTTAAATCAGTGAGAATTGTTCCTTGCCATGGTATAACTAAATTCCCAGATAATGGAAATTATGTATTTAAACGGGCAAATATTCGATCGTCAAATCACAAGTTCGATATAATATAAAATTGTAAAGTTCATTACAGTCACGGCGGATTTCTTGTTACAACGGATTTAAATATTGGCCCCTTTTTTTATTAACTATAATATTAATCTTAATATTAAAAATGTTACCATAAGGGATTTTATTAATTCAATTGTTCCATATCCACAACGTTAACGGATTTTTGATGGGTCTTCTATATTAATATGGCTACTACTCATCACTGCGGATTCACGTGACATAAATTTATGAATTATCAAAAAATGGATAAAAATGAAATAATAGATTATTTTTAAGATCAGTGTTAAAATAAAGCAATAAAACAAATAATTTTATTCAAAGATTTACGAGTAAAATATTTTCTAAAATAAACCAATACAAACAATTGATAGATTATTTGTCCAAAAGTTTGCGAGTAATAACTTTTCCAAGTTTCTAAAATAAATCAATAAACAAACAATTGATGGGTTATTTGTCCGAATGTTTACGAGTAACATACCCTTTTCAAGTTTCTAAATAAATCAATGAATCAATAAACAAACAATCGATAGTTGTCCGAGTAACAACCTTTTCCAAGTTTCTAAAATAAATCAATAAACAAACAATTGATAGATTATTTTTGCGAGTAACAAAATTTTCCAAGTTACTAAAATAAATTAACAAAACCAACAATTGATAGATTAATAATTATTTATCAATTTTTAAAACAATAAACAAAATAAGATCATTTTTCCCAAAGATTTCATAATAAAGTCAATTAGATTATAAATACAACCAAATATTACAATAAATTATTTTATTCGATTATTAATTTTTTTGCCGATCATCACCAATTTTGCCGCAGCGGAATCCGTTGTGGCGAGGTTTTACTGTTTACAGAGCAAATCGAAACCAAAATCTTGGTTCATTCATTATAGATAGCAGTTCGGTCCTTGAATACGTCTGTATAAAGAGCTTTGACTACACTTATTACTATTATACTTTACGTGCTGAATTTTTGATGCGAAGATCTTTCTTATAAAGAAAACACGGGTTACCTTTTTTGATACAAATCAAGCAGTACTTGCTGAAAATGTAAAGTGAACATTATTATTATGTCATAGTTAACGAAATTTAGAAACGCGTATAAGAAAAAATTCTCACACTCTTTAATTATCATTATATAAAAAAAATGACATCAGTAACAACACAATCTCGTAAGGAAAAATCCACAAAAGATACACATAAACTTGAACAATGGGAAAATGATATTGAAATGAACGGACCTTATCCCGAGAGTAGAGAAGATCCAAAAAATTGGTATGAACTTTATTATCATCATTGTTGTTGTTATTGCGTTGTCATCATTTATAATAATGTTCATAAACATAGGTCATGGAAAGAACTCGGTAATGAACAACATGAAGAAATTAATGCACCAGATGAAATCTTGCCAACTTTGGCACCACAAGATTCAACGCCAATAGAAGAAAGATATAACGTTAAAAAAATAGATGAAATTATGACTAAAATTGCAACTGATCCAATTGATAACCGAGAAGATAAAAATCAAAAAGGAAAGAAGGAGCCCATTTTTGTTGAAAAAAATGACAGTGGTGTTGCAGAGCTAATTTAATGTTTTCATTTTCTTCTCATTTGAACCATTTTACTATATATAATGGACCAGCCCAAGATGTTTCTTCTATTCAGAGATGAAAAGATCTCACATCAAATCCACGATTTGTTTTACAATAAAAAGACTCTTTTTTAATCATCAATTAATTATTATTTTACAAAGAAGTTTTTAATTAAACAAAATAATAATAATAATGTAATTTTTGAATCTTTTCATTCAATTAAGGAAATAATTATATATATATATATGTTCATCCAACATCTCTTCGATATATATTTATTAATAAATGGGAGAAACAATCTGCACTAAAGGAAAAAAAACCTAAATATTGATTGATAGATGGTTTGTTAAATCTTAATTTAAAAAGAAAGTTTGAACAACTTCTAACCAATTAATCACTATAAAAAGATTTGTTTGATATCAGTGACACCGAATCCTAAACCACACGTAGCACATTTACGATTTCGAGCTTCTACTTGTATATCCAGACATTCTTTACAAAAAATGTGCATACATTTTACAATGCAATGGGATTTGAATCTAATAGCACATGTTGAACATTTCAACAGTTTCTATTAAATATAGATATATCAGATTAAATATTAGAAGAAAATTGAACAAAAAAATAAAATAAAATCATCATTACCTCATAACTATATAATAATTTTTCAGCTGTAACATTTGATTGATTATTATTTAATTCTTCCACCTTTTTTTTACTATTTTCTAATTCTTCATTTAATCTCCTAATTTTAAATGTCTCTCTCTCGTATGATTTTGTTAAGTCGTCATATCTTTTTTGGAGCTAGATATAGAAATAAAACGTTATATTTATTTATGTTCCAATAATAATAATAATAATAATAGTAAACAATAATAATATTTTATTACATCTATATAGGAATTGTAAGCTTTGTCTATTTTTTCTTTCATTTCTTTTTGTTGTTGAGTCATTTCAATTAATTTGAGTTTGTGAACATCAACCACTTGTTTAGAACATGCTATTTCTTTATTAGCGTTTTCCTAATCATCAAAAAAAAAAAAAACTCAATATTTAATTACATTTTATACCAGCGAAAATACGAGAGAGAGAGTGCATGTAATACAAGTGTATAGATTACAAACCAATTGTGATTTAAGATTATCTTCCAAGTATTTCATTTGTCGAATATGATCAGTTTGACTTTGAATAACTGTGGACAAATGATTTTTCTGTTTTTTTAATGATACATTTTCCATCCAAATAGCATTCAATCTTTGTCTGGCTTTTGATTCCTAAATGTTCAATTCATAATATATAAATAGATAAAATTACCCTTAAATATATGTATGTATAATTTAGTTTATGATTGGGATGATTTAAAAAACATACAGATTCCCTTGCAATTTGTAACCTTTCATCTTGTGCAATAATTTCAAATACTTTTCGTGTATTTTCTTCATCTTGACGTGTCCAATGATCACCTAAAACTTGAAGTTCTTGCAATAATTCTTTCTCATTCTTAAAAATTAATAATAGTAGTTAGAAACAATAAAACTAAATAAATGTATGTAGTTATAATTATTACCGCAATAATAAACATCTTACTTTTTTAAGATAATCGCATTCTGATTCTAGCTTTGAAATTTTTTTCGCTGACTCATCTATTTTTTTTGCTAGAACATGTATTGTATCATCGCTTGGATCACTTATACCGTACCTTTTATCATACTCTGCTAATCGTGATTTTAACTCATCAACCTCTCTTTTATATCCAAGTTCAGAAATTTTCATTCTCTGATATTCTTGCATATCTGGAGGCACATTGTTCATATAATCTTCTAATTGTTGTTCCAATTTAGCTCTAATTTCTTCTGATTGTCTATTTTTTTCCACACCAAATTTGTATATATATATATATATGTGTGTATGTATGTGTATGTATTATTTCAATAATTATTTTAGTAAATTATCTATTAAAAAAATTGTTTAATAATAATTTAGAGGAAAAAAAAGAGAGAAGAGGAGAAAAGGCTTGCAATACTTTAATCTTTCTTGTAAATGATAATCATACGATAATTTTTGTTGAATTAATTCAAATGTGTTGGCACCTGATGCTATTTCATCGTAAGAAAATTCTGGAGGTTGAACAGGATTACAATAAAAATCTACGGCTTTTTTGTTACCCTCTTGTGCTGCTAATTTCATGTGTAATCTTCTGACTTCATCCATTAATTGTTTAATTATAGTTTTGCGATCATTTGCAATCACCCTTAAAGCATTTATTTGATGGAAATCAGTAGGTAGCATTGCTCTTAACTTGTCCACCTCCATTGTTACATCATCTCTTTGTGCACGAATTCTGTCCAAATCTGTGAGAAGTTTATTTAACTGTTCTTCTACATCCTTTTTAGCAAGCTTATTTTCTTCCTATTAATTAACATTTTAAATATAAGTCATTTGGTACAAAAAAAGAAAAAAAAAAACAATGAAAATTAAAAATATCCAACTTGAATCTGATTTGTTGCCGAATTCCTAGTGGCTATCATTTTCTCCATTTCGCGACTATTTTGTTCCATAAATGTACGCAAATAATCCAAATTTTCTTTGCAATGAAGATATTGAAGTTGTAGGTTTTTATATAGTGATGATTCTGTCACTCGAGAATCTGGAATAATTTTTATCTAAATAAAAAAAAGTGTCATAAAAAATTTTTTTTTGATATTGATTGACTGATTAATTAATTAAATTAATTAATTACTTGTTCATGAAGTTTATTAATCTCTATTTTTAAATTCGCCTTTTCTTTTGACATCTCTTCTAATTCTTTTAAGCGAGACTCAGAAAGTGATTGAAACTGGATTAATTTTTCTTCTAATAGTTTTGACTATACAAATAAATTAAATTTTTTATATTAAAAATGAGATGGATCTTTTTTTTTACAAGAAAAAGTATTCTAGAGAAAAAAGACTCGCGAACATTATTATCGTTAGATTGTGATCCTTGTGAAGTTTGAGTTTTAACGCCAGACCAATATCCAAGAGTAACACTTTTTGACCTATCCATACGTTTCTCAGCTTGCTTTAATTGTTCCTCAGTTGACTCTAATTTCTCTATTTTTTCTCCAAGCTTATTTTTTGTCATTTGTAATTCGTCTTTAAGAGCGATTATCTTTAACATTATTAAAATAATAATTTAATAAATGATTATAATAAAATCATGATCATCATCACAACCGTTATTATTACCTCAAACGTCATAGAGTGAAATTTTTCTTGGAGTACATCAATTTCTTTATTAACATGTGTATAAAGTTGGTTTAATTCCTGATTTTCTGATCGTAGTGAACGGACTAATATGTTTTCTCTTGACGTAGGATCACCAGGTTCATCTTGTAAATCTTTAATGAGATTACTTCTTTTTTCAATCCATAAAATTATTTTTTCCAAAAGTTGTTTTACAATTTCTTTTGTAGAAATACATTTTTCAGCAATTGCACGCTCAATTCGTTCAATAGATTGATCTTCATTATCAATTTGAATAAGTCTTTTAAGAAAATCCGAATCACGAAGTTGTGCTTTATTTTGTTAATTATTTCCCATCAGCAGAAAGAATATAAATTAATATCAATATCAATATCAATATCAATATGATATAAAATATAAAATCTAGATATGAATATTATTGTTATCATTATTTATATACCAATTGGAGGAGCCAAGTTAGATAAACTGCCATTATCATCCACTCTATCAATAAGCATCTTCAAATCAATTAATAACTATCAAATCGATTAATAATAATAAATAAATAAAGGAATCGCAAATATTTGAAAAAATAAAATTTAAATGCTAATAAAATTAACAAACTTGCTCCCAATATCTATTGACAAGGCTTAAATGCTTATCATAGTTTTCTTGCTTGCTCTCAAGCTGTTTGTTCCATTGAAGTACACGTTCTGCTTCACGTTTGTATTCTTGTAGAGCACGGTATATAGCTTCCTTTTGGTAAGTCTAAATTAAACATTGTTTTGAAAATATATTAATGCTAAATAGATTATCTTCTCTTGTTTTTTTTTTAAATAATAATAATGTTCCATAGGCCAATATAATTAATATTTTGAATTTCTAACCTCTAGCCAATTAGGATCTGAAATGTCAAAATTCATCTTTGCGAGTATCAGAAACGATGTTTATTAAAATTATTAAAAAGAAATTAAAATCATTACGATTGTAAATGTAACACGAACGCACAGAATTTTGATATTTAAAATAAATAATTAATAATGGGTGAGAAAGAAAACCCAATAGTCTTTTTTGATATTTCTATAGGTGGACAACCAGCTGGTCGAATGAAAATGGAACTATTTGCCGATGTTGTGCCCAAGACAGCAGAAAACTTTAGGTATTTACATAATTTGTGCATATTATTAAGTAACTTGATTCTCACATTATTCCATTAATAAATTTAGACAACTTTGTACAGGAGAATACAAGTAACTTTATTTAGAAGTGTTCATTAGAGCCAATTGTTATAAAGTAGAATAGATTGTTTTAAATGATATATTGTATTGTAACTATGTATTATATAGAAAAAATGGAGTTCCACAAGGATATAAAGGTGCGACTTTTCATAGGTTAGCACATCAAACTTATAAAAGATTGTACAATTAACATTCTATTATTATAACAATAATAATTATTATCATTTATTTAGAGTTATAAAAGATTTTATGGTTCAAGGGGGAGATTTTATAAAAGTATCTAATCAATCATCTGATACTTTTTTCCTAAAATTTTTTTTTTCAAAATAAAGTCAAGTAATATATAACTATTTATTTAGGGGGATGGAACTGGATCATTTAGTATTTATGGAGAAAAATTTCCAGATGAGAATTTTGAATTAAAACATACAGGACCAGGACTTCTTTCAATGGTTAGTTACTATTCAGCAAAAAAAAATTTTTTTGAAAATCTTTTTGACAATTCTTTCTAATAATGATGATATAATAAAAAGGCAAATAGTGGATTGAATACAAATGGGTGTCAGGTATATATGTATATAAATAAATTTTTTAAGTTTAAAATTGATAAATTTATTAAATATTTTTTTTTATTTTATTTTATAATAAAGTTTTTTATCACCTGTGCCAAATGTGATTTTTTGGATGGAAAGCATGTAGTCTTTGGGAAACTAATTGATGGATTGCTTACATTGAGAAAAATTGAAAATGTTTCAACTGGACCTGGAAATCGACCAAAATTACCTGTTGTCATAACAGAATGTGGACAATACTAAGTTTTGTGTGTGTGATTATTTTGGGTATCCTAATATCCTGATTCATTATTAATTGAAATAAAATCTTTTTTCCAGAATAAATATTTTTAAAAATACAATTTTATAATAACACAAAATATATATTTAAATTTAATTGATATTTGCTTTTTCTGTCCATCTTTTTTGATAGGTAATTGCATCACCCCTAGTTGCCTGTTTATTGATTCTTTTATGTTCTTTTCTAGATACTATACGTTCTACCACTTCACCTGAACCTCTTATCAATCTAAAATAATTTTTGAAATTACTATTGAAGTTTAATTAATGATAAAAAACTAATATGTACTATATTAAATACCTCACACGTCCATCTATAGGATCTACAACTTCACGTATTATTGATTGCTCTGCTTCATACTCTGCTTTTGTTTGAGGTGCCATTATTGGTCTTCTTGATGGTTTCACTATAGATTCTACATTGTCATCATCATTATGACTGGTATTTATAATAGTAGATGATGATGATGATGATTTTTGTGACCTAAGTTTTTGTTGCCATTCTTTAACCTCTTGTATAATTTTATTTTGATAGTCATTATTTTTTTCATCATCATGGTGATTATGGCGATTATGACTACTTTTCTTACGTTTCCTGTGATGTTTTTTATGGTGAGATGAATCATTAGAAGTTACTGAGCTATCGGCAGAAGAATCTCTTTTTGATTTGGTTTTCTTATGATGGTGTTTATGATGATGACGTTTATGATGATGGTGTTTATGATGATGGCGTTTATGGTGTTTATTATTTGATTTTTTTTCTTTTTCTCTTGTTGGTGATAAAGAACTACTAGATCTAGATTGAGATCTAGAACAAGATCGTGATCTTGAATCATGTTTTCTTGATCTTTTACTGTTATTACAATCTCTATTATCAAATTTTTGTTGAGAAGTTGAAGAGGTAGAAGGGGAGGTAAAATTAATGAGCTTTGGTGATCGTGATCGTGATCTTGTCATTTTTTTTTTTTTTTTGAATTCAAAAAAATTTAAAAGCGAAAGATGCACAATTTTGGGCCGTGTAACAAATTCATAAAAAAAGGATATCGCATATGACGGGCAAAGCGACCGCTTACTAATACTAAAGCAACTAATATTAATACTAATACCAATACTATTAATGTAAATCAATATTTCCGGATGGGAATCAAAATAGTCGAGAGGACGGGCATCATACCAATATATTAATTATTTTAATAAGTAGCTGAAATTATTTTTTTGTATCATTTTGACTTTATCAATTCTGTATCACACTAGTTGCATATAATATAAATGATGTAAATATATATATATAAATTTTTTTTTTCAAAAGAAATATTATAGTAATAATAGTGAATGCGATAATTATGATAAAGATGAAATACACAAAATATTTTTTATTAATTATTTT